AGGAGTCCAAAGTATCTCAGAGGTGGTGTTGGCATGCTGGTGGATGAAGCCTGGTGGTCTGGCAGGGCCCAGGGGTCCCAGAACTTCTGTTGGCCCACTGGTGAGTGGGGCAGAATCCCAGGACAGCGGGCTGAGGGGCCGCAGTGTCTCAGAGCTGGCATTGGCCTGCTAGTGGGGAGGGCTGGAGCCCAGTGGGCCCTGGGGCTGGTGTCGGCCTGCCAGTGGGTAGGCTGGGCCCTGCCATGGCAGGTTGTGGGGTGTAGTGGTCTTGGGGCTGACGCCCTCCCGGGGCCCAGGCCTTCCTGAGTCTGGTGCTTGCCCACTCATCTGTGAGGCTGGTCCAAGGCTAGATCTGTCTCGCTTATGAACAGAGCTGGGGCCTAAGAGATTCTGGAACTGGTGCCTGCCCACTGGTGGGCAGAGCTGGGTCTGGGGATCTCTGGCTGCAGGGCCCTAGGAGTCCCAAGTCTAGGGCCTGCCTGCTCGTGTAGGGCTGAGTTCTGGGCCTTCTGATGGGCAGCTCTATGTCCAGGGATGGCCGTGAGCTCATGGGCTCTTAAGGCAGCCTGTTTGCTGGTGGGTGGGACTCTGTCCCCACCCGGCTATTTCCTTGGCCTGAGGTGTCCCAGAACTGGCGCCGACAGGCTGGTGGGCAGGGACAGGTCCTGACACTAATAAGCTTGAGGGAGGATTCCACAATAGAGCCTGCCAGCGCCAGTGTCCACATGGCAGAAGGAGCTCCCAAAAGTGGCAGCTGCCAGTGTCTGTGTCCCCAGGGTGAGCCCCGGTCGCCTCCTGCATCTCTGGGAGGCTCTCCAAGATTGGCAGGTGGGTCTGACCCGGGCTCATTTCAGATGGCTGCTTCTGCCCTGGGTCTCAGAGCTTGTGAGATTCGTGTGTGCCTTTTAAGATGGGGGCCTCTGTTTCCCACAGCCCTCTGGGGCTCCCGAATGTAAGCCCCGCTGGCCTTCAAAGACAAATGTTCTGGGGGCTCATCTTCACATTGCCGGACCCCTGGACTGGGGAAGCTGAGGTGGGGCCAAGACCCCTGTCTCCTTGGGGGAATCTTCTGCAATTGCAGTTACCCTCCCGTTTGTGGGCTCCCACCCATAGGTGTGGGTTTGGCCTATACACGACTCTGCACCCAGGTGCTGACTCCCCCGTCAGTTCCTCAGCCAGCCGGGTGCTCTCCCACCTCAGAGACTCTCCGGAGAGGCGCTGCTTCCTCTCTCCTCTCTCACGTGACTCCGACTCTCCATTCCATTCACTCCCCACGTCTCCACAAAAAGGCTTCCTCCTCAGGGAAGCCTTCCCAACGCCCCAGACGGGCTGGGCCCCTGTCCGATCTCCCCTCGCAGCCCCTGCTGACTGCCGTCATCACGCTAGTTCTCTGTCTTCCCCGCGGGACTGCACGCCCCAGGCTGCTGCTTCGCACGCCCAGCACAGTACCTCATACACTGGAGGTGATCAGAAGTCCGTCTGTCAGAAAGGAAGCGCTGGTGCGTGCCATGGCATAGTGAACCCAAAAACACATGCTGACTGAGGCCGCCAGGCACAAACGGCGACACACATCACCTGGTTCCATTCCCCCAAAGTGTCTGGAATAAGGACACCTAGAGAGACATCTGTAGAGAAAACAGATTTGTGTCTGCTTAGGGCTGGCGTGCTGGCGGCGGGTGGGGGTGGACAGTGACTGACAGATACAGGGCTTCTGTTTGAGATGAAAATATCCCCAAATTGGTGATGGCTAAACAACTCCACAGATACACTAAAAACCATAGAACTGCGCACTTTAAATGGGTAAATCGTGTGGTGTGTGAACCATATCTCAATAAAGCTGTGAAAAAAATTTAATCCACCTGTCTGGCTGACCAGCTGGAACCCAGAATGTGTTTGTTGAGGATGCTCAGAATCCTGAATCCCCAAGTCCTGTTGTCTGGGTGTTGCAGTGACTTGTAAATGTACTGAGAGAAAGAAGGCTCTGGTCTCTCATCTGAACCCCAATCCAGCGTGATCATTCTCAGCAGCCGCCTCTGCACATTTAACACTGAGCGCAGCTCCTACCCTTGCCTGGGTCCCGACAGGGGAGGCCAGGCTCAGGGTGCGTGTCCCAGCTTGAAGAAACTCAAGCATGCGAGGTCAGGCGACCAGCCCGACCTCACTCAGCAAGACAAGTGGCAGCCAAGAATAGCACAGGGCTTCTAAGTGCGTCTCGCTTGCTGTAAACACCCAGCCGCGCCACCCTTCATCCGTCTGATTTTAAAAGAGACCATAAAATATGAGCCAGGGCGGCAGCACTGAAACCTAAGTTGGGTTCAAGCCAGTGGAAGAACTAATCCTGTCTCCAGTCTGCAGGGACAAGTAGGGAAGACCCCTGGGTCAGAGCTGGGCGGGCTTCTGCCAGGGCCCATGTCAACCGTGTGGGTTCACCGCTCTGGATACAGGCACAGAGACGGAGCTCATTGCTCAGAAGTGTTCTTTGCACTTAAGAATTTCCATCTTCCAGCGCCAGCGGGACCGCTGATGACTCGTAGTGAGCCTCACGCTAGGGGACCTTCTGGGCCAGTTAGCGAAAGAACGGTGAAGGGCAGTCTGGTAGAACTGGGGTCTGGAAAAGCTGGCAGCGGTGTAGCCAAAACAGCAGTGACTGAGCCACATCCAAAAGACAGCTATTTGAAACCAGCCCAGCTCAGCAACTTCCTCGCCGAGCGACCTTTAGCAAAGCCCTCGGCTCTTCTGAGGGTCAGTTTCCTCATCAAAAAAGGGGAAGAACACCGCTTGGTGGTGGATAGGGGCTGCAAAGGGCCGTGGCAGCGCCAGAGCGCGCAGTCTTCGGATGTGTGTCTTCGCGGGACTTCGCTGTGCTAACGATCCGGACGCGGCTTTGGTGGAAGTGCGCGTGCACGGTGGTCTGTCGCTACCTACAATATTTGCCTTAATGAAGGCCCAGACCCCAACCAGGTGGGACACTGTTTCTGTGGGGCCACTCAGGCAGGATAGATGAGGACCGAGAGACAAGCCCAAGGTGAGAGAGAGCTCCTCTGCTAGAAAGGCCTTCACCTTCCTGCAGCTGCCAATAAGCTGTCTCCCTCTTGGACACAAATGGGGTTTCCTTTAGGCCTCAGGTCCTAACTTACAGTGAGTCCTTGTCCAGAGCAGAGGGTGGTCTCTACCCAGTAGTGACTTTCGAGGTGGGAGGGGTTGCCGTGTGCCTGCTTTTCCCAGACGTCGTGGGGCAGGTGGGCCTGTCCCAACCCTGGCGGCCGGCTCACCCAGGCCTTGGCTCCCGGCGGGGGGACACCACGGCAGCTGGCTGGAGCCTGGTGTCTGGGTCTCATCCCAGTCTGGGATTTCTAAATTTAACCTGCTATCAGCTTGAGAGGCTGGAGGGCTTCCTAAATGTGTGACTAAATGCCACTTGGAATCCACTTTACTTGTACTCACCCTCCCTGCACATCCCCCTCCCAAATGTCACCCCCAAATGCAGGCAGCCATCCGAGCGTCCTCGCATGTCAGGGTGAAGATTCAGACGCCTGAGCAGCTCTGGGTCCCGATGGGATCCAGCTCAGCCTCCTCCTGCCACACACGCACGTTCACGCACGCACACGCACGCACACACGCATGCGTGTACACACACACCCTGGTCTCACGGGCAAAACTCAGGAGCTAACTCCACAGTTGAAAGCCAGACCACGCCAGCGAGTTGCACCACCCATAAGCCATCTGGTGGAGGGTGGCCAGCAGAATCCGTTATGCAATTTCCTGCTTTGGTGTCTCAGGCCCCGGAGACAGGATGCAGAATGCCGTTGGGTTGCTGAAGTGTGCGAAGCCCAGGGGAGAAACCAAATACCCAGTGCCCAGAGTGAAGGGGGCCCCCTTGTCCTTTGTGGCGATGCTGAGAGGCCACTGCCCACCCGGCGGACCAGCCTGTGTCCTGCAGCTGACCGGGCAGCGCCTCAAAGGGACTAGCAGGCTCACCGTGGGCCGCAGAGATCTGACGACACAAAAAACTTCCTGTGCTGGGAGGAAGGCATTTCCTGCCTAGGGAACTCAGGACCGAGTGAGCCACCGGCAGGAGGCCTTCTTATGAATAGGAACTGTTGATTATTGAGCACCGAATGTGTGCTGCACAGTGACATGCCGAGGCTGAGAGCACACAGCGGGAAGGTCTGGGCCCGGGGCCGAGGTTCAAATCCTCGCTCTGCCTCTTCCCAGGTGTGTGGCTTGGGCAGCTTCTTGACTTCTGTTCGCCCTCAATTTCCTCATCTGTGAAATGGGCATCAGGATAACACCTGGTGTGTTGGGATTCACTGAGTTAACACCCAGAAACCGAGTAGCATAGTGTGTTCTCACCGCATCAGCCAGGAGATGGCTGGCTACCCATCTTCCAAACAAGGTAAGTGGGACTCAGAAGGGCTCAGTGTCTTGTTCAAACTCACAACAATGGCCTTGAATCCATGGTCCACCTTTAGAGCCCACATGGCCCCAGGACCTGCCCCACCTCCCATCCTTCCATAAGAAAGTTCCAGTAGAAGGAGAAGACATTTACTGTCGGTGCTTTGACCCCACACAACCCCTTTCCCCAGCTGTGGGGCAGGGCATGTCATATGTCGACATTGTCCTAGAAGCTGTTCCTCCATATGGAAACGGGCTTGCAAGTCTGTGCGTAAGGACCCAGCGGAAACACTAACCCCCCTTACCACACAGGTTGTTACTGCTTGCCAGAAAGCCGAGCTGCCCCCAAGCCCTAGCTCCACATCCAAGTCTCCTGCCCCTCATCCACGCAGGGCCCCAGCCAGGGGGCACTTTGGGTGGGGACTGAAGTCCCAGGACTGCAGATGTCAGCCTTCCCTAGGTCCTTCTGGGCCCTTAGCACCAGAACCCCTGAGCTGCAGCCATGCGCCCACCCTCCCTAACACGTTCACTCCCTGGGCCAGAAACAGGGCCGTCAACCCCAGAATGAACCGCTGCTTCAGAAACATCCAGACCCTGGCCAGGCCTACTTTAAAATTACATTTTATTTCTCTTTGTGAATGTTTGTTGTTGCTGTTGTTAAAAAGATTCATTTTACATTTTCTTCAAGAGTCTTGTGCCTCCTGGTAAGTGCACTGGTTTGTTTTCACAGTACTCTCCACGACCATGGACGGTCCTTATTGCTGGCAGAGTGTGTCCACGCCGGGGAGGGGGACACCAGAGGGTTCGGGGACCCAGGTAAGACGCCTGGGGCCTGTGCTCCATGAGGGAGGAGGCCAAGGGAGCAAGCTGAGCTGAGCATCCTCAGCTGGACCTACAGCCCCCGCGGGGTCTTCCCAGCCCTGTCTTCAGAGAGGCTGGGAGGGGCAGAGAGGACGGGGCTGGTGGGGGGTGGGGGTGAGCCAGGGAGCAAGCTGAGCTGGGGGCCTGGGCATGCGGCAGGCCGAGGTGGAGGCAGCCAGAGCAGCAGCGCTCCTCCAGGTGGGCACAGCACAGGCCCCGTCGAGGGGGCCTGCTCATACCCAGGGAGTGTGGGCTTGGGGGACTCCGCCTGAAACAGCTTGGGACCACCCCTTACTGCTCCTTCCCGCTCCCACGGCACCCCCAGTTAAGAACTCCTTAGTGATGACCCAGCCCAGAACCAGAACTCTGGGTCCTGACCCCTCGCCCACGGCCCTTTCTCCTATTTAGTGCAAGAAAGACCTGAGTGCAGAGAAGGGCCATGCCACCGAGAGGCCAGGTCCTGTCCACGGTGGCCCCTCTCCAGCCTGTCCCCAGAGGTAGAGCGGGGAACCATCGTCCCCCTCACTAGAGGCCATGGCCTCTCTGGGTGGCAGGGCCTCCAAACACACCGAGGGGAACCGGCAGTTTCCAGAGGGAAGGTCCCCGGCCTGACAGGGGTCCCCCAAGCACCAGGCCGGCGGCCGGCCTCACAAAGCTGTTTCTGGTCCAGTTGTTCCAGGATAGCTGCACGCCTGCCATCAGGAGCGGGCTCGGGAGATGGCTGGATATTAAGCACCCCTTGAATAAATACAATATCACGTGGATAAAGGAGCAGAGCAAGGATTTAGTGACCGGCGCCCTCCCACACTGTCACCGGGACTCCTACAAGTGGCTCATCTGCAGCAGAAATGGATTATTTTTCTTATCTGACAGTCTTCTGTGCTTGAATATTATTAGTCTGAATGAGGGGCCCAGGTGGTGTAGCTGTGGGTTTGGCAAGCTTGGAGGAAGGGGGCTTTAGCTGGGTGTCCCCTCAGCTCCTGCAAGCAGCCTTCAAGGCAGACATTGCTTAAAAAAAAAACAGAGAGAGAGAGAGAGAAAGCTTGGCGACACTCAGGCCCAAGTCCTGGGGCTCCTACAGGCCAGGCCCTGAGGGAGGGTGGCCTCGAGGACTGGCCTCGCTGTCCCAGACCAGCTTCAAGCCCAGTCCCCTCAGTCCCCGAGCCCTGGGCCCTGGTCTGCTCCTTTGAGTCTACCTCCCGCCTCCCCAGCCTTCCCAGAGCCAGGAACACTGACCTTTGGGTGCCCCGCACCTCCAGCACGTGGTGCTCAGAGCCTGTCGGCAGCCCGCCCCCAGAGCGCCTGGGAGGGGCATCCCTGAGAAGGTGCTGGTTGGGAGGTGTGGGCCCTTTTACCTGTGAACGGCAGCTGGGTAAGATGGCTGGCCCTCCAGGCGTTTGGGACCAGTGGAGATGGAAACAGAAAAGCTGCGCACTTAGATGTGCCCGCAGGCCTGTCTGAGGATGGGCGCTGAGGACTGAGATGGGGACGTTCCCTGGGCTCAGCCTGTAACTCACAGGACCCTCCCTCTCTCCTCCTAGACACACTGGAGGCAAGTTCCGGCTGCAGAGAAGAGAGGAGAGAGAAGCCCCTGGCCGACCTACCCTGGGCCCGAGCTCACAGCCCTTCTCTGCAGGCACGGGGTAGGGCGGGGGGTGTTCTACCCAGGGTGGAGAGAAGGGGCTTTTTAGACAGAGTCCGTGGTTTCGGCTCTGCTAAAACGAAAGAATAAGCAGCTGGTTTTAGATCTAAATCTGCACCCCGAGCCCTTCCGCCGACACGCGGGCGGCGGGGCTCAGGTGCATCTTTCTCTCGTCCCTAACCCAACCCCCTCCTCCCACACCTCTGGCAGAAGATGAAAAGTCCAGTAGAAAAGAGATCCTGCTTTCTTTGTTTCAGGTTTTTTTTCTTTAAATTCAGCTTAAGGCAAAAGTTTGGCGAAGCAACTCTACATAAGGCCGCGTGACGGAGGACAAGGGGGAGCTGCCGGGGAGGGGCCGCCGCACCCGCGATCAGCCGGGGCAGGCGCCCACCAGGCTCACCACCAGCTCCTCCTCGTCCCACCCCTGAGCCTCGTGAAGAGGCGTTAAAAAAAAAGAACTGAAAAAAAGCAGTTGTTTCAGGGACTCTGTCGCAAGAGAATGACTGAAGTCGCGAGGGGAGGAGAGCAGATCCAAGGGGACACCGAGGGCCACATGGGCTGGTCGGTCCCGCCTGGGTCTCCCCTGCCCCGGGAAGCAGGTTCCGGGAGGACGGGGGGCACCCGGGGGGCATTCGCACAGTGAGACCCGCCCGCTGGACAAGGTAGAAAGGTTGTACTTTGCTGAATGACTGCAGAGTCCCTGTGGGTTTTGGAGCAGGGTTATTATTCGGGTGTAACCTCGGGGGCGCCCCGGCTGTTACCGGTGCTTGGGCGGGATCACCACCAGCGGCTGCCCGTACTTGGGCCGCCACATGAGGACCTGAGCGTCGTTGGCGTTGGGCTTGACCAGGGCGCTGGGCGGGATCGGCTCGTTCTTGCTCAGGATTTTGGGCTGGTCCTGGGCGATGGGCTCCCGCAGCCGGGCGCGCTGGCCCAGGGGCCGGTTGGGGTTCACCTCGATGCTGAGCTGCATGCGCCAGTGAAGCGTCTGCAAAATGATCATGTCATTGGTGGAGGTGTTGGTGGCCACCAGCCACGTGGTGAAGCTCTGGTCCCGGTAGATGTTGGTCAGTTTGGCCACGTTGCTCTCGCTGACGGGCACAGCCCACGTGACGCTTGGGTAAAAGTTGTCGTTCATGCTGATGATGAACTTGGAGTCTCTCTTGGTGGGGCCCACAATGGTGCAGGTCTCTGTGGTGTTGCCGTACCAGGGGTAGTTCACCCCGTCCGAGTCGCTGATGGCCTCGATCTTGCCTTCCTGGAGGTCCGGGAGCTCCCAGCTGGACCTGAGGACAGGAAGGCCAGTTTACTCAGCCAGCCACCCACCTACAGGCTCTTCAAAGTCCCTCTGCCCCTGGGGCTTACCTCCCGGAGGGGACCAGACAGTAAACAGACACTCAACATCATGTTGGGGAAACGGGGCTCCCCGAGACACAGCCTCCCTCAAAAGCCACATCCTGTTCTCTTGCATCATCTCAAGTTGGTCTCCCCCTCCACCCCCGGAAACCGTTGTAAATGGGGCTGGATTCCAGCCGGGCTTCGGGAAGCCCTAGCTTCCCCTGCCCCCAAGGGGATGTGTCCATGGAGGGGCCTGGCGGTGGTGCACAGTGACGGGGAGCCCCGACATGTGCTGTGCCCTCCACCCCGTGTCCCAGTGGCTGGTAGGATGGCCACAGGCAGCCCTGAGATCTTGGTTAGGGCGGAGGCCACTGGCCCTGGGAGGCTAGGGTAGGGGTCTCTCCTGACCACGCAGGGCGTTCAGGCGGCCTGGATGGGACTGCAGGCGGCAGTGAGTTTCTTTCTCACTTTAGGGGCCCAAAGAAGGCTTCAGAGCCCAGTGGCCATGGAGTCGGCACATCTGGGAGTGATTCCAGACCCTTCTTTGACCAGCATGTGACCCTGGTCAAACACCCACCCTCCCTGAGCTTCGCTGTCTTCACCTGTGACAAGCACTGCCACCTGCTCCCTCCCCCAGCACCAGGCTGAGGGGCCGGCAACCAGCGCCCGGCGCCCTCACTCAGGCTCCAGCCCCTCACCTCTACGTCTCCTCCACCACACGTGGGTCTGGGCTTCCTGGCCCTCCGCCCAGCCACGGCCAGCACTGGGAGCAGTGCCCCCTTCTCCCCGGTGCCCACCCTCTCCCCGGCCTTCTGCTCATGCCCGCCTAGAAAAGGAAGCACAGCGCAGCCAGAATTGCTCCCGCCTGGTTGGCCCCTGTCTTTGAAGCAGTAGAAACCAAGAAAACCTAACCAGCCCCATCTCAAAACACCGCACGCAGTCCCAGCCTCGGGGTCAGCTTTTCAGTCAATGCCTCCTGGCCTTGCAGCAGCTGCCAGAAAACCTGCACTTGCAGCTTCGGGCCAGCCTGAGTACCAACAGCACTTGGTCAGCCCGACTTGCTCAGCTTTCTTGGGGCAGAAGAAAGCAGCCGGGCTATCGGGAGCTCAGACCCAGGAAACCCACCAGCCTTGCCAAAAGTCTCAGCCACCCTCTCACTAGTGTGAGACCCTGGGCAAAATCCCAGCCCTCCCTGGACCCCAGACTCATCACACACACCCCACCTGGGGTCATGGAAGGATGCGGGCAGGAACATGCCAGCCCAGGGCGGGGCGCAAGGCAAAGGCCAGTGTTTGGTGGCTACTAGCACTGTGTCGTTACTGTTGTTGCTATAGTAATAACTCTCAGGTAGAAGAGGACGCTGGTCTGTCCCAAGTTGCTCTGAGGACACATATGGCTGGAGGCACAGCAGCATCTGGGAAGCCCACCCCTTAAAGACTCAACAATCACACCCACCCTCCTAGACCACTAAAGTAAGGCGAGAGGGAGTGTGGGTCTTTCTCCCAAGGCGATGCAGCTAAGCAATGAGGCCTGGGCTCCTGCCATATCTAACCTCAGGACACTTTGCCCCCGGAATCCTGCACACCTGTGTACACCAGCGGTGCTTTCCAGAATACACTACTTTACAAAATGCATTCCTGGTTATGGCAGCATTACTCACAGTAGCGAAAAGGTAGAAACAACCCAAGTGTCCATCAACAGATGATGGATAAAGTGTGGTCCATCCATACAATGGAATATTATTCAGCCTTTAAAAAGGAAATCCTGACACAGACTTTACAACATGGATGACCCTTGAAGACATTATGCAAAGTGAAATAAGCCAGACGCGAAAAGACAAATACTGTATGAGTCCATGTATGTGAGGTCCCGAGAGTAATCAAATTCAGAGAGACAGGAAGTAGAAGGGAGGTTGCTGGGGAGCAGGGGGAGGGACATGGTGCAGAGCTTCAGTTGGGGAAGATGAAAAAGATGCACAACAATGTGGATGCACTTAATGCCACTGAACTTAAAAATGGCTAAAATGGCCAATTTTACGTGTATCCTATCACAGTTTAAAAAATGCATTCCCCTACTAAAATGCATCGTTTAATGTTAGCCGTGAACAAACGTGGGGCCCACTACAGGAGGAATGACTAAGAATGCGATTTTGCTAATTCTTCTGTTTACTTCATTAAAAAGGTCACAAATTAGGGTAACACCTGCCTAGTAGGCCGTCTTCTGCCTGGGGCCCCGAGCTCATCGGACTCCACGGGAGGAGGTAACAGTCCTGAGCCGGCGGGTTCGGCTCCCCGCCAGGGGCGGGCACTGTGAACGCGAGAAGGGGTCAGAGTCCCTGCGCTGAATTTCTCAGAAGCCTGTGTCCCACCCATGCCCAGCCTCCCACCGTGGAAGGCACCCCCTTGTCCTCTCACAGTGGTTACGCTTGCTCGTAAAAGTCTTTTTCAGGCAGAAAGCCATCTTGTTAAAGGACCCTTCCTCTTGCCTTGGGGGTTTCACTTCCTAAGAGCCGGCTGGTTTGGGGAAGCAGGGCTTAATACCAGAATGGCCTCTCTCTCTCTGTCAGCCTCTGACCCCAGCTTCGGGCTTCCTCCTCAGTCCCTCCTCCCAGCCCCCAAGTGCCTGGGCCCTGGCTCAGTCACAGACGGGTGACAGTTCTCATGAGCTGGCAGACAGACAGCCGGGGCTCATGTGGGATATTACTCAGAACCAGGGCCAAGGGCGTCTGTTTTCAAATCATCACAGGCCAGCTGGGCTGGCCCTGGTCCCTGTGGTCCAGTCTCCCCATCGAGGCAGTGGAAGGTGGCTAAGGGCACAGCTCCTGAGGGATGCAGACCAGCCCCAGGTCCAGGCTCCGCCTGGCCACGAGCTCTGACCAAGTCACAAATCTCTGAGCTGCCCTGTCTCATCCATTCACTGCGGGTAATCCTACCCACTTTGCAAGGCTTTTCATGAAAGGCGTTGATATATACTACCTGGTACGCAGTAAACAGCAAACCATGGAAACTTCGGGAGACCGCTTGGGGCAGGCGTGCCTCTAACATTGCAGGATTCGCCAGCCCTGATGTGACCTGAAGCCCTTTTGACCTCATGTATGTTTTCAGACTATCCACACTCTGAAAGGAACGATTCCACCCAGTTACTGCCTCTAAGACTTCCTGTTGGTTCTGGAATGACCTTGGGATTCAAGGCAGACCCTGGAGTTTTCTGCTCCAGGGGTGGAAGGGTGAGCTCGGACCCCAGCCCTGCACACCCTGAGCCTTCTTGTTGGCACGAGGGGGGACAGTACAGGCTCTGATGCATGGATGCCACCAAAAGGTGTAGGCAAGGCTCCCAGCTCTGTGCCGGCGCACCACCGCTCAGCCCCCGCGTCTGTGTGGAGGAGGGGGACTCTGTGAACATGAGCAAATGCCCATTTCTGCCCTGGCGCAGACCCCGGCGGGGGGGTCGTGTCAGGCCGCCCACAGGTGAGCAGGAGGCTCTGGTCTCTCCCGTGTTCTTCCCCTTTGCTTGCCGGCCTGCGCTGGTCTTTAGGGCAACACTGGCTCCAGAACATGCGGGACCAGTGCAAAGTGAAAACACCAGGCCCCTTGTTCAAAATTAAGAATTCCACTGTGGCAACAGCAGAGCACTGAACACAGAGCATGGAGCACAGGGCCCAGTGGGACTGAGCGGTCCCCACGCCCGAGAAACTGGCCCGCTTCCATGGGCATGCTCACACTCCTGCCCTCGTGCCAGAGGTGTGGGAGCCCCAAGGACAGCAGGCAAGCCCGGGCCTGAAGCGGAACCCCAGAATGCTTTCTGGGGACCCTCACAGCCTGTCTGAAACTGACTCTTCATCTCCCCTTGACGCCCGTTCCTTCTGCAGCCACACTGCCATGCTCTCAACAGACGTTCGCAGGGACCCGCCGCTGACACTGTCCACCACGCTGGGAAAGGGCTGCACAGAGCTGCCGACCGAGTCAGCATCTCTCTTAAGCCTGCCATGACTCCCTGTGGCCTTGAAAGCCAGATGCAGGTGAAGCCAAGAGTCACTCGTGTGCACACACACACACACCCCCACCCCGCACCACGCCAGTCCTCCCCAGGCTCCAGACCTACCAGCCCTTCCTCTAACAGGCTGTGCCCCTCCCGACTCAGGGCCCCCGCCTCCTGTCATGGCTCAGGCTGTCAGTATGACTGATGGTGTTTTATAGAGGATAGCTGGAGACGAGAGGTCTGGCCCAGGGCCACAGAACTGGGAAACCACCAGGCAGGAGCCACAGCCTGAGTGAGCTCTTACCCACAGCCTCCAACAGCCCCTCACCCAACATACACACATATGCACGCACACACACACAGACTCCAAGCAGCATGACTGACCAAGAGTGTGAGTCTGAAGGGGTTACAGAAAGGCCTTCCCTGGAGACCACAGAAGGTGTTGAGGCTGTGACGAAGGGCACCCACAGGGGCTGGGGAGGGTCACCCTGTGGCTCCAGGCCCCGCCACCGGCCAGGAGCTGACCCTGCCTCTTGGTGGAGGGTGAAGGAAACCAGGGATGCCCAGAGGCCAGAGGTGTGCCTCAGAGAGGAGGGGAGGGACTTGATCCTCCTGTGACCTTGGCCCAACGGGAGCACACCGTTCCCAGCTGCTTCACGCCAGGCAGGGGTAGCGAGCCTGGACCTGGGTGCTCTCCTGGGTGCAGATGGCCCCTCGTGCCCCCATGGGCCCCCGCCTCTCCCGGGCTCTCTGACTGTATTTTCGTCTCTGGACTCCAGAGCTGGACCATCCCAGCCCACATGGTCTCAGAGCAGAGTTCCCAAACTTCACATCTCTTTCCTCATTTTGGTCCTGTACATAGCTCCTATGTTATCACTCACTTAATTTTTTTCCTTAAAATTAATCACATTTTTAAAAACTCAACTAAATTTAGTTTTTCCTAAGATGCACTTTTAAAATAACAGGCTGGATATGCTAGGCACAGATAGATTTTTTTTCTAATATACGTTAGAATAAATATGTTGCTTTAAATTATAATTACACTTAGGCTTAAACAGGTTCACCTAAGTATTATTTCACATCGCACAGGTGGCGGGCACACTGAAAGCACATTTAGAGGTGGCGGTTTGAGGCTGGATGGCGAGAGGGGCTTTCTGGGGCACGAGGCGCTTTTGCCAGCGGGTTTCAGTGCCTGCACACACGCCAGAGGGGCACTTAGGGATTAGCTCACCTGCTCTCCAACTGTACAGCGTTTACAATTTTTTTGCAATTTGCAAAAAGTTCAAAATCTGTAAAATTTTGCGATTTTCTAAGAAATGAGGCCCAAGAGCCCCCTTCCAAACCAGACTGGGACCCTGGTTTCCTAACTCCTGCCCTGGGCGGCCGCCCACTGGGCTGGCCCCCTCCCACCAGTCAGATCACCAGGCACTGGTTCCTCGAGGGAGGAGCTGCAGGTGGCCCCTCCCTGCCTGCTCCTGGGGACCCCCAAAGGACAAACACTATTTTTCCTCCCCACTCACCCCTCTCTGCCCAGGCCTAATGTGAGGGGAAAAGGGCCCATCGTGCCTGTTTCAGTTTTTAGTTATAAAGGCAATGTTTTTGTTTAAAAAAAGAAAAAGCAAGCTATAGAGAAGTCAATAAAGTGAGAAACGGAAGTCTTCCGGGCCTCCCCCTCCCTCGCCGAGGTTACTCACCACATTACACTCTGGTAAACAGCCTTCTACAGCTTGCTCCCTGCACATCCACACAGTATACGTCCCAATGCTTAACAAAAATGGGCTCCTACTCTATATATTTTACTTTTTTTCTAATGCAACGATGCTAATACAGTAAGAATCTCTGGCTGCTCCTCCTCATGTAGCAGCCTTGTCCTGTTCTGCTCTGTGGACAAAGCCCAGTGTAACCCCCGCTGATGGACACTTGGGTTGCTCTTGGCTCTTTGGGATTATGGACCATGCTGGAGCTTCTGTCCCCACACAGACATCCTTCCGCCCTGCTTCCTCCTTCACGTATTCGTTAATTCATTTGTTCAGTAGATAATTTTTTGTGTGCCTACTACATGCCAGGCACTGGGACAGGGGCTCAGTTTTTGCAAAACAGACCTTAGAAGTAGAAGGGCAGCGTTGAAGGGCATGTGTACTTGAAATTGTGGTAGATAAAGCTCACCTTCCAGAAGCTGCCCAAACTCTACCCCCACAAACAGCATGGGAGGCTCTTCAACCCCCAGCCCCCTTGCCCAACACCAGGCATTACTGGTCTTTTTCATTTTTACCCAGATGCGATCAGCGGGAAAAAAAAGAAAAAAGGAAAAGCAGCTCCATATTTCATTGGCCATTTCCCTGATCACTGCAGCCATCGGTGCCTCCTAGCTCGTCTCCGGGAGCCTCCAGCTTTTGTTTTCGGCCTTCAGAAGGTAAGGACTGGCACGCTCACTTGGCTGGGCCTGGTCCAGGGGGAGTTCTTTGGGGACCGGGCGGCACTCCCCTCAACTTCCTCCCACCCCAAAGCCTGGAAACCAGGACTTCCCTCTCTCGCCTGCCTCCACCGGGCCCCGCAGATGGGGGAGACCGCCTTCCGGTCGCAGAAAGGAAGCATCGTCCTCAATTGTTCCGCACGGGGCGGCTCAGGAAGAGGCCACGTGGTCACCAGGGCCATTCCTCCCGGCCTGGCCCCAGGCCCGCTGGGGCAGAGCAAGCCTGCTGGGGCAAGTGGCCTGACCATAAAACGAGGACCTCAGGGGGGTCCTCGGGAGGCGGGAAGCTGGGGCAGCCTCATGCTGTGGGCGAGCGTGTGCAACCCAACCCAGGAGAAGAAAGAACAGTGACAACTCCAACCCAGCAAGCTCTGCTGACTCTGCCGGTGACACTACTGGTGACTTCTTACTCGTTACACTAGGAAGAGCAACCACGTGTCCGGGGCTTGGTGTTCACCAGGCACCGCGCTAGTTCCCATCATGCGCTGTTTCACCTAATCCTCACAACAGCCCAAGAGGAGGGACTCTTCTCCCCATCTCACAGATGGGAACAGTGAGGCTCAGAGAGGTTGCCAGCCAGGCCCAAGGAGGCCACATTCATCTATGGTGGAGCCACTCCCCACTGGACAAGGACACAGGGAGGTGGCACTGTCAACCCAGACAGACTCCATCTCTTGAGCTGCCCTCCTCCCCTCAGCCCGCCCTTTGGCAGAATCCCGAGCCAGAAGCTGACATTGGCCTTGGCCGTGGGCCAGATTCCTCGGGGGCTCCAGAGAAGGGCGAACCAGGGATAACATGAAGTATCTCCCACACAGGCGAGAAATTGTGACTTGTCACTCGGAAGACTGTGCCAGCTGACAGGTGGCGGCTGAGGATTGCGGAGGAGGGGGCTGTGGAGGCAGGCGTCTCCAACAGTTTTTTGGGGGGTAGCTTTTAAAGCAACGTGGGTTGGACCCCAAACCATATAGAATGCTCTCCAGCTGGCACGAGAAAGTCACCATTTTCTAGCTCTTGTCCGTGAGAGTCGGGCATCACTGAGGTGGCCGGGTGCCTTGTTCTGTTTCAAATATTTCAAATCCAGAATGTCATTCAGAAGAGTTCCCCTCCTGGCTTAGAGATTAATTTCAAGCAGGGATAATGTCTGGGGGTAGTACAGGTTTCGGTTAAGCATGTGGAATTAATGTTTTTAATACAAGCCTGTTTGTCAAGAATGGAAGCCCCAACCTAACCTCAGCCACCTGGCCGTCCCCTCCGCCGGCCACCAAAGCCCAGTGCGTGGGTGTCATTTTAAGGATTCAGATTGTCTGGATCTAGCCAGCCCAGCAGTTCTCAACCAGGGGTGACTCTGCACCCCTCCCGGGGACATTGGGCGATATCTGGAGACATTTTTGGTTGTCAGGACACAGGGACAGGAGGCTGCTGGCATTGAGTGGGTAGAGACCAGGGACACTGCTCAATGCCCTGCAACACCCAGGGCAGCCCCTGTCCCGGCAAAGTTAGGGGACAGTTCCGGGCAGCCTGAGGTCGCCTGTCAGTCCCACCGCTTACCGCCCTCACTTTCTTTTACATCACGAGGCTTCAAAACATGTAGAAGGCTTGTTACCACAGGAGGCCCGGGGTAGGGGAGACGGAAAGGGCTTTTACATCACATCAAAATGCTTCCATTTACATTTAAGCAGGAGCAGCTGCCAGGCTCTTTCTAAACAAGCCTCTCACTTGCAGAATGCACCCGTTGAATACAGAGCCTCCCCGTGGGCTGGAGGAACCGCGCTATTTGGTAATTCAGTGTCTTAATAAAATTTTGTTGACAAATAATCAATCAAGCAGCTTCCAACCCAGCATTTCAGCCGTAGGGCCGTCACCTACACCTGTCCTCTCCCTGAATCCTCAGCCCACGGGGAGTTCTGAGCCGCACACACAGATGGCAAAGCCGAAACTCCAAGAGGTGACTTGTCGAAGCCCAAGAGCCAGCCTTGGGCAGTCACTCTGACTCCGGGACCCGAGCCCATTAATGACCAGTCCACCCTGCTCCTCTGACAAGCCTCGAATTCTGCCTTTCTCCAGGGCTGGTCCCGTCCCAAATGGGAGCCCAGTGGACCCAGGAGAGTGAGATGTGCTGGACACAGAGAGAGAGCCCTGGGTTGAAGGCACGTCCCAAGAAAGGGAGGGAATAAAGAGGAAACAAATGGAGAGGAAGGAAAACGGCCTTCAACCACTTAAAAAAGAATTGTTCATGACTTACACTACTGTTAAATTCTTAAAAGTCAGGGAGTGGGCCTGTGTAGAAGACAAAGACCAGGGCTGGCGAGAAAATTAAATACAAGGAGTAATTTACGTCTGTCCGAATTCTGTTGTTTCAGCCACGATTCTCAGCTCATGACAGATACCATCCTCCCATCCCCATCTGATTGAAGAATAATCACAGTAATAACAAAGAAGACAGCCACTTGCAGTAAGTATGTACCGCGGGCTTGGCATAGTGCTGACCGCTGGACTCATGTCATCTCCTGTAAGTCAATAAGCCATGGTGCAAGGGCTATGACTGGCCCCAGTTTTGCAGATGAGGAAACCGAGGGTCAGAGTGGCTAAGGTCACATCCTGGAAAGTGGCAGAGCCTGGACTCCCGCCCAGGTCGGCTTGACTGCAGTCTAGGTGTGCACTGGGTTCCTCTAACCAGGAACCAAGGACTCGCACGGACAGAGAAATGTCATCCCAGGTCTCCTGATGCAGGCCTGCCTCCAGCAATAGTGCCCGCACATTCTCAGAGCCTGGAGATTCTGCAGCCCCATGTGCACAGATAGGGAAGCTCCAAGCAGGCCTGCTCCCTCCTGCCAACGGCCCTCATCCATCTCTCTAGAACTTAGTCCCTTTAATTCTCCCCAACTTTCTTCCTCCTGGCACTTGTATCTTTCCAAGAAGGACCCTCTGGCTTCCCTACTCTTTCTAGGGAAGAAAGGAGGCTTAGCCTAAAAGCCCTAGAAAAACCTTTGTGTCTTGCCAGTTGTCCCAGACGTCTTGCAAAGCCTGAGAAGATTTCAGGCTTAAGACTTCTTAGGAAAAGGTCCACACCAAATAACTAAGAATCAGGTTTCCCTTCTTGGAGTGGAAAGTCAGCCCCTCGCCTGGTTTAATAGCCACTCTGAGAGTTAAAGACATGAATGTAGACGTCAGGTTGACGGAGGGGAGTGGACGAGTGTCCCGATATGCCCCAAGTGCACCTCTGGGGCGGCCATGGTTACACCTAGCTTTAGCTTTTTCCATGATTCTCCTGTTTCCCTGGTAACTTCAGAATCATTAAGTGGAGAAGCCATAAGATATGGTGTCCCCTCCCCACCCCCTCTAATTTCAGGTGGCCCAAGATGTTCTTAAATCAGTGAAGAGTGCCAAGTCTTGAGGAAAGCCCCCTCTGTTCCTCACTTGCAGGACTGGGAGTGATGCTACCCAGGCGGACCCTGAGAGGCAGGCTGGGGACAGTGTCCGTGGCCAGTCACCGCGTCAAGCTGAGGGGGCTGCCCTCGGGACGTGCCTGGCGCTCTCAGAAGGGTCCTCATGCTCAGAAACAGCTGTTGTCACCGCCCTGTCTTCGGGGGCCCTTCCACACCCAGGATGACCATCTCTAGGGTCAAGGAACATGCCAAAAGGGATGGCCCAGGGGCCGCACCAAGAGCTACATTTTCCTGGGAACATTTTGCAGACCAGGCTGGAGAGAAGAGGCCGGTGGGGTCCTGTCAGCTGTCAGCGGCCCAGTGGAGTCTTCCGGACACTGACACTAGATGTCTACGTAACGTGGCCTCCTGCCTGAGAGAGAGAAAACACTGCACCGGCAAGCAAGCCGGGTTTCTAAAACTAGATGTCCTCTCAAATACGCTCTGTCCGGGACTATGGAGCATCCCCCAGGTCCTGATGTGCCTCTGAAAGTGCCGGGGGACAAGTTCAGGCCCAACACAGAGCCCAGCACACTAACTCCGGAGGCTGCAGAGGCCGGGCTCCCCTTCCCTGAGTACCCGCCACGTGTGCGGGCGGAGGCCTCTCTAGTGACCCAGGACAGCACACGTGCTTTGCCAAAGAGGAACCTGGACCCAGTGGAATGTCGTCTGCTCTCAGCATCTTGCAGGGAGGGATGCAGGAACCCCAGGAGCCAGGGACAGTGGAGGGGAAGGTCCTAGTGCCGTAACCCCACTCAAAATCAACAGGCGAGCCCTCTAGGTCACCTGGCCAAGAAAGACCCAGAGGCCACGGCCATGTCTGCCTAACACTTCCCTCTGGCCCTGGCGAGAGCCCCTCTAGTCCCCGACCGCACCCCCAGGCCCCCACACTCCCCCAGCCGGAGCAGCCCCCAAGGCTCGCCCCTGGGCAGTAGTACTCACATGCCCTGCTCCCCATACTGGTTGTAGAACTCCATGTGGCTGCACGCCTGAATCCAGCCAACAATCCAGGTCTCCTTCTTGGGGATGGGTGGCATGACCACCTGGGCCGAGGCACGGAAGTGGGGTGTCCGGTAGCGGAGCACCACGCTGGAGGACTCATCAATGCTCGTGGGGATGGGGTCAATAGAGGCCTTCACGTCGATCACTGTGATACCTTCCCGGAAGACTCTGGCTTTGCCCCCGATGCTCTGAATACAGCCCATGGCACACAGGACCGCTCTGATCTCCAGGGAAGGCCAGCAGTCCCAGAGGAAACTGGGCATTGAGAGGATGGAGGCTGCCGGACCCAGTGCAGACAGTACTGTTCTCCAGTCTCAAATCTGAAGACCGATATCCATAGGATAGAAAATTCACTGAGTAGAAGGGGTTTGCATATCACTACCTTGGGCCTGTTTATAAATAAGGATTTTGCTGCATCTCAAGGGCCCTGGGTTCTCTCTTCTTCTGCTAGCAGTGGACAAAAATCACCGATATTCTTTGGATTAAAAAAGAAAAGTTTGAAAGTTAATGGATAATCATGTTGTTCAGGCATCCAGCCCTTCTGTGCCTCACACGCGGGAAACGCAGCTCCGAGACGCTCCCTGAAGTCTTCGGGTGAAAAAGGCAGATGCCGGCAGACACATAAATAAGGAAGGCTCCGTCCCCTGCGCGGTGCCGCCACCCTCGCTGCAGAAGACCGACTTCCTGCCCTCTGCCTTCCGCACGCCCTCCGGGCACAGGCACCCGGCCGCTCGCCCAGCCCGGCCGAATCAATGGGAAAGCGGCTTCTGTTCAATCCACCGAGGTCCGGGCGCCCTCGGGGGCTTCCAGGAGGCCAGTGCCTGGCTCGGGCCGCCCGCGGGGTCCCCGAGCAGCGCGGCGCAGCGCGGGTCCCCGTCGGCGCCCACTTGCGGGCGCGGGCCG